TAAAATATAATTTGTTCCAGAAATTTTTTTTTGATGATAACACAAAAAGCTACTTTAGCTTATGGATATTTAAGCTTTTAGATATTTATTGTTTTAGGTGACCAAATAAACAACATAAGCTTACAAATAAGGTTTTAAATATATTATTACCTTTCAGAGAAAATAATCGTAACGTATCACTGACTTTAATAACAGTAACTGGTAAGTTTTCTTAATGTTTTCCTAAGCTTTTAACAGGACAATGACATGCAGGTCAGCTGTGAACTAAAGTCTGAATTGTTGATTATTATTGTCCAGTAAAAGAAAAGATGTAATATTTCACAATATTTAGTTAATATAAAGGCTATTATGTGACCTTAGTTGATTTTCTTTTTGCAGTCCATGTTGACAGTTATCTGTATGTTTATTAATACAATACAGTAAATAATATCTAAATAATCCTTTATCAACATTCATATCAGTGACTTTTTGAATGGTGAAAAGGATTGTCACCATCCACTATCATTTTAGTCTACAGAAATATTAGAACTGCACCATAACCTTTAAAATCCTTTAAAATACTCTAAAATACAAACTGATCCCAATGCTGCAAATTGAATTACCAGAAAATTTTATGTCATGTCTATAAGAGAAAATACCAATGACAATGTTATACTGTAATTTTAGATATATCAAGTCTTTAATAACTATTTTTCAAAATGGAGGCTCATGGAAAGGCGACTTGTCAAAAAAACTTTCAAACATGAATTAATTATGGATAGAATATGTGAATAGGAAGGTTAACACTGATATTAGTTTAACAGAACAATTCCCATTTCTGATACCAGGGTGTACAATTGACACCTAAAACAGATAACCTCTCCCTTTAATAACGAAACAAAGCAATAAGCAGATGCTGTTTATTCCACATCAAGAAGTTTAGTTAATCTTATTCTAGTACATTAATTAATATATTAATTATTAATTAATACATAGAACTACACAAATAATCTTATATTATATGTATTCTAATCAATCATTGACATTTCTTAATTAGCTCAAAGCAAACTGAGAAAATGTCAGAAATAAAACAGGCTGAAGATAGACTAAATGTAAATTTATCAAGGTTCTCAAGGGATTTTGAACTGAATCAGAATTGAATTTTTAATGGTGTGAGATTCCAACTAATGTCATGAGTTTGGTAAAAATATGAATTCATACAAATATTAACATAAGCTTACACTTGAAGTATATTTTGAGAGATATAAATTTTCATCAAAATATCACAGGAAACTCATCAATCTGTTAGAAAGGAGTTGATATTTTATCAATAATAATGTTCATAAAATGGATCAGTTTAAAAGCCATTGTTCAATGTAGTCTCAAGAAAAGATGGGTCATCTAAACTTCCAAACACACCTAATGCAGATAATTCTCGACACACATTCGACAAGGAGGTGTGAACATTATCACTTATTCCCGTTTCCGAGACTAAAGCAAGATTGATGGTGAATATATTCTTTTAATGGCAACATTGTATTGAACAGGTGAGAAGGTCAAAAGGCCTAGAATTAGTGATGTTGAATTTTAGGGAAATCAGAAGTCAGGAAAAGTAATACTGAAAGCTGAAATTGAACAAAAGGAAATTTTCAGACAACACTGTATCCCTAATCTTGTGAACAAATTCAAGCTAATGCTTTCAGCTTTTCTGTCTACCAGAATGATAAATTTCTTCCATAATTTAGTAAAAACCAGTACTAATATAAACTTCCTGGACTCAAAATTAGTTAAAATCATTAGAAAGTTTAAAGGTTAAAGAAGTATAGTCAGCCCGCTGTTACCAATACTCCAAAGTTTCATGATGGCAGTGAATGTAGTGTTATTTACACTATTGATAGTCAATAATCAATCAGCAGTATTTACATCATCACGGTCGGCCTAGTCACCATAACTTACTCTTATAATTCTTAGTATGTTCAATGATTGGATCTTTCTAGCATTTAAACATTACCAGTACTTCAAAAATACCCATTATATACACTATACAATAAGAAAACATCCAGACAAATACAACAGCTGGTTTTTAAGTAGACATGTTATGATATTCAGCTCTAAATTTATGTCACAAAATTATTGATTTTCCTAATAAATTTATAGAAAAATATAAAGATTTAAAATAAACACAAAATAAACTTTTAATGATAAAAAAAAAAATTGTGACCCTGCACATCGTATCAGGTATTAAGTTGCACTGCCCAGTAATGAGCTGGCAGTGAAGTATTAAAGGGGACTCAAATCTAGATATTAAATTGACTAAGCTTATATCTTCTGAACGGAGAAAGCTATTGAGATGGAATTGGTATCAAAATGTAGCTGATGACGTCAGGAATCCAAACATACTAATAACTCTACATGCACCAAATGCTACTTTAATACCTGGTTTGATGTACAGGGTCACAATTGAAAAATAAATAATTCAGTTTTTGTTGTAATCTATGAGCTTCTTCATGTAAAATTGTAAAAAAAAAACAGGACAGAAGGTTTTTTTTTGTTAAATCAATTCATCAAAACTATATAAGAATGAATTCAGGATAAAAAAAAATCAATGTAAGGTCGTTTTTTCAAGACATAGAAAAAAAGGACCCTTATTTTCATGAGCAAGGATCTTTTAAAACCAACAAGTATAAGTATGATTTTTTACATTTATCAATGTCCTGAAAGATGTACATCGAAGTATAGACATTAGACAAATCATCTGTGGAATTTGTTTTCTCCCACAAATGCGCAAAACACTTTGGCCTATTTCTGTTTCAGGATAAATAACTTCCATTTGTTATGGCAAGAGAAGGAAAAGGATATAATGCAAAGGGTTTTCTTGTTCATACTTAAAGCAAAATTTGCTTTTGTCAACATATTGACAACTGTAAATGTTACAAACCTTTGTATAGTCTTGTGGGCATTGCTGGCAATAATAAATGGAGTTGTTGTTTATCCAGAAATGAAAATGCACATTTTAAGTTCCGAACTGGCTATTTCTATCAATATTTTCATTTCATAGCATTTTGTTACATTTAGGTTCCATCCAACTTTTTACTAAAATAAGTTTATGGACTGTTGTCCTTTTAATTTTTGTGTTCATCATACATTTGATTATTAGGGTTGTTTTTTGGAATAAATTCTACCATTGTCTTAAAAATAGGAATTGATCTGCAAAACTAATCAGTAAGTGTTCATACCTTACCATCCAAATTTTAGCCTTCTTATCCACTTTTATCCATAATTATTTATGTTTGAAAGTTCTTTCTAAGAGCCTTCATTTTGAAGAGTGGCTGAGACTTTGTACAATTTTCAGCATTGGCATTAGCTTGTGAATGAAACTTATAAGTTATAAAAAGTGAACTTTCTAGTTACAGGTTATGCGTTTATGCTGTTTAAGTACAGTCAAGTAACCTAATTGCGTGGAAACCTATTATTCGTGGATTTCCGGAAATGATTAATAATTTACATGAGCGACCTTGCGTGTGACCTCCGCATTAGTTTGTTTTAATAAACATGGGTTTTCTGTACAATATCAGCTAGTAGAATGAATCCAGTATTTTCAAGCAAGGTAAAATGTATTAATGTATACTTTGACAAATACAAAATGGCGGATTTCAGTTATTACCAAACGTCACCATTTTTTGATCGGCCGAATTTCCTTATAATCCCAAGCGGTAATCGGAAATCCAAGTGTCGTCTGCTAGAATGTAATCCAACGAATGAAGTCACGTGATCAACTAGCAGATTCCGTGTCAGCAGAAAATTTCTATGGAACACAAATTGGACCATATCCTAATGTTGTTTCAACGACTTTTAGCAATAAATCATGCTACGTATCTTATTTTGTCAGTCACTATTTTTTTTTAAATCGTGGTTCTTTGAAGGAATTGTCACTAGTTATAATTACACTAGTAATGAATTGATATTAAAGATAAATACTAAGAGAAGTTAATTATACCACCCGGTATCCATACAAAGTGTTTTTCTAGACTTATTTATAGATCAAACATTATACACGAAAATAGGTGACACATTCCGACGCCGTTGCCGAGTTAGTTGCTCATGAAAAATGGGTCAAAGTGAAGGATTCATAAAGAAAATCGAAATAAACCAATTTTAATTATTTTGTAGAATATCTGAGGAAACATCTAAGACATAAAAAAAAAATTCGTTTTTTTAACTTTGACGAAATTCGGTGTTGAATCCTTATATCCACGAAAATCCACATTATATTCAAGGCCCAAATCAACCTGGGAACCATGGCTTTATGATAGTCAAATTTAAATAGTAAATTGTAACAAACAACATACATATCATTGTTAAGAAACAACTGACAGCTGCACTCTGTAAATTAGCAAAATCAAAAGCAGATCCACCAATGCCTGACAAAAGTAAATGTATGACAGTTTACAACGGTGTTGTACAATGTTACCAATCAATCAGTCACACTCAGTCAATAATAAAGACTAAATCTCAAAATATGGCATTCAAAAAAACATAGACCACTCACTTGACCGGGATTGAAATCTTGCTCCTGTACCCGTGAAGTAGTTCGGTACTGTCAGCAGCAGGCCGGCCAAAATTAGCTGCCAAGACATCGTAAATAAATCCAAATTCCTTAGATATTTTTCACTTCCATTCCGTCATCAATCCATTGACATATTGCTCTCTTCTCGTGAGATACCGTTACAAGCGAGAATATGACGTCAATTGTGTTTGCCATCGGCACAATCGGCACCACATGGAACATAGAATGACTCTATCTTCAACATACCCTTTCCATTTTGTTTCAGAGATAAAATGTCAATCAATATGACGTTTAAAAAAATCGAGCTAATCAAAGTATAACGATTTGTTTTGCCCCGCCTTAAACCTAAATTGTTGGCAAAGATGTCAAGTCAGTATAATAGAGTGTATAATCTACAGTGACTAAACATTCCTCATTGAAATTCATACGGAATTTCTTCAAAACAACAACAAGCATGGAGGGGAGAGAGGAGGTTATTTTTGAGGTGAGATAAATTTTCTCAGTTTTTAAGTGACATAATTATTGTAGGTCATGATTAATTAATTCTAGATACGGGACGTTTGATCCTTATTTATCTCACTCAGTCAATAATTCGATGAAATTGAATTGTAAATTTTTTAATAAAAAATTGGATTGTATTTGTAATGTATGAACTGAAGCGAAGGATTGAGAAGGGAAGGGAAGTGTCAAAAGTTGGTACTGGGATTGCGGTAAGGAACGTCTTATTAAAAAACTTGAATAACACACATACAAACAAACAAACAAACAAACAAAACGTGTGCCACAATCATTGAGTTAGTGTAGGTATTAGAATTAGATTTGATTTTGAGTAAGGTATATTTTTGAGCTGAATAAGGGACATAGCAAATATATCTTAATACTAGGTCTGCTTAGTATATAATTTCAAAATATTCCACTGTAAATTCAAACATACTGCCACTTCTATAATGATTAATATCTCAAGTAAAATATTGAAAAGGAAAATCCGAAAATTGTACTTATTGAACTAGACTAGTGAAAAGGTATTGTATATTATATTGTTACATCTTAATCATGTATATGTAGTAATAAAATGACTCATATGTCATCATCAATTATATAAACTAAGTATAAAATACTGTTTGAAGGTAAGTGATGATTAACTGCAGCTTCCTGATTGTTTACAATTTTGTCAGGATGCCAATCAATGATGCCTAGTACCGGTACTATAGGTAGTTCTCTCAAGAAAACAGGATATTTGCCAATTTAACTTGATGTTTTTTTGTGATGAGTAGGTCTATTAGATCATCTTTTATTGACATCATGATGATCTTATTATAAACTAATTTCTTTCAATTTCTAAACTAATTACTTAAAACTTTTCCATATGGTGTGGTTGATACTATAGCCTAATAGGTTCAATTGTTAGTAGCACTATAACCTCTAGATAATATAAGAACAGTACTGTTAGTAAAATGGATATGGTATCTCAATGTTTATAATCAGACATCTGCACATAATTTTGTATTATCCAAAACCACTGTTCAATCTATTAAAGATCCAACCCAATATACTAGCAATTATTACTACAGTATAGTTACAACCATAAATAAAAAATAGGCCTATATATGGCTACAATTAAGTTAAAATATTCATGTGGGGAAGTTTATCTGTGGAAAAGCATCTCTAGCAACTCTCCAATGAAGTTAGAAAAGTTTAAATTTGATATTATTATGATAAAATTTAAATGCTTGAAGATTTACCCGCTGGTAGTGGTAATGATATTAAAATAATTATCATTCCATTGAATCTAATTATACAATATTTGTTATGTATATAGTAATTAGATTGATTTACTATAAGTTAATTAGTCAGTATAAGATAGATTAGCTCTTTTATAAACTATTTTAAATCACATTATCAAATATTTAGAATTCTTTTGTTGACCTTTTTACTTGTTAATGATCCCTGCTGCACACCTTATGTTTTAATTATACACAACACTCCATTCTTTACATAATATATATATGACAGCAAAATAATGACATTCTTTATAATTGTGACTTTTGTTGATAAAATTGTAATTTAATTTACAATGTGACACAATGTCTATTTTGTTAAGTTTTAATTTGTAATTTGAAGTGTGTGTTTTTGTATTATTTCGAAGACATAAGATAAGCCAAATAACCCTGAGTTTTAAAAAGCAATTATTTTTATGTTTCTTATAGAGGCAATTAAAGAAATGAGAACAGTACATTTAAATTTGATATATTTTGTTAGCAATTGGAATTTCAAATTTGATTGAATCAGTAGAAAAAAAAAATTCTGGCAATAGGTCACGCTACAAATCGACAATCGACTTGATTGTTTCCAAACTTGTATCCTTGTAAACTTATATTGTTTAATTCTTTCTCTTATCTTTTTAAAAAATGCTTGGGCAATGTCCTGTATTTCATGCCATGGCTTTCCTTTTTCCCCACTAAAAGTAGTGAAAGATGATAAGCGCAATAAATGCTTGGATGAGAGAAATATTATTGTTGTTTTTGTCTTTAAAAGATATTTTTGTCTTCATTTAAATAATTGATTATTATTGTCTTTTGCAGGATTTTTTTTATCAGTATAACATACGACGAACAAAGTTGTTTCTTGGTAAAAAAGGAAAATGGAAGCTGAAATATTTAATATTAAGAATTCAAGGAGAGAAACCTATTATAGAAATTTATAGTAAAAAACCTAAAAATAATTCTATTAACCCAAAAGGTAGGTTTGTCCAACATTTAAATTTTATAAACTTAATGTTCTTAATGTACTAGTGCTCCTTATTAAGAAGATTCACTTAAAATTGTCAATCACTGTGAAAGGTATCTTATACAAGATTGTTATCTGACTGAACATTTGTAATTATTTATATTGTATTATGATATCAAAGCATTTTTTCACAGTCAGTAAAAGCTGCAACAGCAAAAATATTATTTAGAAATAGTAAGCTTATAGATATCAGGATTTGTTATTTAAAGAGCCAGAGTGCTATTCTGATTATCGAATGAAATGTTTGAAGAGTTATTTTAACAATTGACACTGTATTGAACATCAATAAGATTTCCAGTCTTTGTGTTTTAATATTGAGACTTCAAGACTTTGGATGAGGAAATGCTATATATGACCAGCAGCAAGGAGTAGAGATCTTGAACATGAATAACCAAGGTGAAAATTGACGAATAATAGAATATTAATTTTTGTGATTTTAAGAAAACATTAAGGAAATGTTAAGAAAATGTGTGTACCTTTCTGATTCAAATGAGAATTCAATATGTCATCTTGTCTCTAAATGGACTTGACCTTTCTCAGGTCAGATTAGATTGACCATGGTCTGTGTTGACCCTTTGATCATTTTCTCTCCTTAAAACACATTGTATACATAGTAGATCTGTAGTGTTAACATAGAAAACATCTTAAACAATCTGTTACAATGACCAATGTAACAATTTGACATTGTGAAAATTTGTAGCAAACGCCTCCCTTTTTGGCTTCTTATTGTGTAAATTTGTTTTAACCAAGCCCAATTACTAGTATGTCTTTATAGAAACTATCATGTAGAAATAACTAGAGATATAAAATAATGATGTTGCACATTCCCGAATACAACTTGTAAATTTAGATGTTGTGATGGGTGTCATTGTCAAACACAATTGTCTTAAAAGTGATGAGTCTATGTCAGATTTTAAAAAGTGCCATAGATTTTCACCTGTAGTAGCTGATAAATCTAATATTTAAACAAGTATATTGTGGGTGACCACTGGAAAACTCGTATATGCCATATGTGGTCATTTTGACTTTTTGGTACAGTTCTCCAAGCTTGTAAAATCGCAGATTTAAAACCTTTTAAAAATATTATATTATACGAGATTCAATATCCTATTTCTGCAAATGAAAAGGAAAAACTTTGTATACTGGAGTAATCAAATTGTTATACGAGGTTTAAGGTTTCAATGAATGAAAACCATGAATAGCAGAGTGAAAATAATACGAGATTTCAAGCAGTCACCCACGATATCTCTGCTTTAAAAACATCAAAATCGCTCTAATTTAATTACTGATTTTTCTAAAATTGTAACAATGTTTATACTTAAAAGGAAAAAATATTAAACCACTTTCAAAACTTGAAATTGCCCTCAGATCTTAAATCTCAGGCTTCCTAACTTCAATTTAAATAAAAGGTAGCTTAACACATCACAAAATGAATTTAATTCCACAGACAATTATTTATTGACAACTAAATGATAAGAATTGCTGGAGCTGGAATACTTTCATTTCATTATCTCTCTTTTGGATTTCATAGCTGCAGAGAACTGTTTTAGGGACAAGTCAATCAAAAATTGGACTCCTGGGACAGTTTGGGATTCTTTTCTTTGTAATACCTGGCCTAACTCTAACTCAAACTCTAGGTTGTACAAGTTCAAACTTGTTCAAAAGTTGGATGTTGCGGTTGAGATATGTTTGTGGACCATGTAACCTATATCTTAATGTATCCAAACTCAGTCCATTAATATTTTGCTATGATACAGACTTGATATCTCTAAATGTGTGTTTTTTTCAGGAGAATTTGTCTTATGGCCAACTTTTCGTGTAGAGAAAAGTATCAATGCTAAAAATCGACAATTTAGTTTTGAGATTTCAACACCTGATCAACAGTTATGTCTTTCATCTGATTCCAAGAAAACTGCAGACATCTTTGTCTTCCTTCTTCAAATTCAAACCAAATTAAAATCTCAAGTTCAAGGTAGGTACTGGGGTGATTTTATTTGACAAAATCTTTAACATGAGGCCTGTATATGATGGTACATGGATTAGTTTTAATTTTTAAAGTAAAAGATCTTACTCTAGTTGCTTGCTTAAACTGCCTGTCCTTATGAGTATTGTATACCTGAAACACTTGTTAAAACATGAAATGAGCTCTTGTCAATAGGTTCTCATTATTTCTTGATAAATTTATTCAAGTTTTTTTAACTGCTTATAATGAGTGACAGAAAAAGATAAGGATTAAGAGAAATGCTAGTCATTCATTTTTTTGTATTATTCAAATCTATCAAACTTAAAGGCTTTTAAAGTTGATCTAGACAAGTTAGGTCTAATTATTTCACAATTTCATGGGTCATTTGAGGCCTTCATATTAAAGATTGACTATTAATAGTGAGGTAATGAAATGTATAAAAGGATATATATGTATATTAGAATGTTTTGATGATTGTCAAGTATAAATAACTAACATGAAGAGATGTTATTGGTGTCACTATAACCTTCTCTTTATATTTTATTCTCACCAATATCTCTTAGTTTATGTTCATTTTATCATAGGATTGGTTAGTTATCGCTTTTATACTGCTTTCATGTAACATTCAAGTAATGCATCATCTGTTGTATTTTCCAATTTTATGGCTGAGTTTCTGTGTTCTTTATGTTTTGCTCTGAACTTCAATATTATTAAAAGGTTTTCCAGTCGTCAGATCTGAATTTAAACTTCTCACAACTGTGTTAAGGTAGCACTTTTCAAGATTAAAATCTGATATCCTGTATAATTAGGCACAAACTATTAAAACTGTCAATTCCTGAATATTTTCAAATAGTAGTAGTAGTAGTCATGCAGTGAAATATAATGTCTTATGTCTGATTAACATCAATGTAATTCAAATTTAATCACAATTTTGTATCTTTTTTGCTTTCTCATAATTTTAATCTACATTGTAATCTAAATGGTTTTCCACCAAAGATCCAACCATATGATGTTATATTTAACCAATCAAAGCGTGTTTATTAATTTCAACATCATCTTCTATGGTTTAGTTGTTTAAAACAAGATCATAATGCGGTATATTTCCAGCCAACCCATTATTCCAGTTTATTCTGATTAATCCAGTGTCAAAGTGTTTGAGCAGCTAGCTGGAAGAAATAAGTTATAAATTATCTTTGTAAAACTGATAGTTTCTCTCCATTTCAACCCATTCTTTATATATTAAGATCAAAGTGAACAGTAAGAAGTAGTTAGTAGTATCTATAGTTGAGAAAAATAAAAGCTTTTAGTACTAATGACTTCCTTGTCATGATAGCAGGAATATATCATGTCTAATGGGTATTAATGTATATCCTGCTCTATTTATTAATGATTTATACTTGTTATTTTCAAAATATTTGCAAGTATTTTAGACACTCTAGAAAGCACAAATCCTGACAGATTGTGAAGAAGTTTTATATGGTTATCATTCAAGGATGAACCCTATCGAAAAAATTAAAAAATATCTAACATAAGTTATTGCCCTTGTTCTTCAAAACAGGTACAATTTTTAGCTGGTAATCATTGGAGAAAGAACAATTCGCTGCAGATTTGGACAAAACTTAGTTATAACAACACAAATTTTAAGCTGGTGAACACTCTCAAAGTCATAATTCCTGATAGATTTCAATGAAAACTAATGAAATTATTTATTATTGTCCAAGAATGAACCCTTGTGAAAGTCAAAAAATAGAAAAAAAAATTGAATTATTGCTTTTGATCTCTGAAATGTGTTCAATTTTTAGCATGCACAATTCTCATTTAATCAATATATTTCTGGACTATCTTCTGAGTTATGAATAAATGTCAGCACCTCATGATATTATACAGTGTAAGTTGAATGATAACAAATTCATTTGTTAAAGAAATAAGAATGAGTTTTTAGTCATGAATATTTATAAAATGTGTTGTTAACCTTTTCTAAGTAATTATATAATAAATCTACACCCACAATATTATTACTAATATAATTAACTATAATCATCTAGTATAGGTCTATAAATTACTTGTATGTTGCAGACTATCAAATGAAGTGTCAAAAATATAAAGAGAAAACTGACATATTGAGCTAGAATTGAGATCTACATGAAAGTTTAATGGATATGGGTAAAAGGGATCGTAAATGAAATTTCTAGTGTCATTCTTCTGGTAGAACTAATGACTCTCTTCATGAACTAGTATTTCATTTGAGCTCTCTGAATAATGAGTCTGGTTTCTCCTATCAGTGATGCAGGTCAGAGGGGCTAAAAAAGTGGGACAATAAATATAATAAAACATCTAGGATAATGCAGTAATCAATGACCATGTATGATTTTTGTTGCAACTTTATGCTGAAGTAAATTTATTTTGAATTTATCCACAGATGTATGTAAAGATATTCTTTCTTAAAGCCTTTAGGGTTAACAACATATCATAAGGTTATCTTTCTTAAATCTGCCCATTATAAGTTAAACCTGTTACTCAATTGTAAGGCCTGAATAGGGAACCTGGGTAAGGCCTCAATTTGGGAGGTTATTGATGAATTTCAATCAACCTGCAATCAGAATTTCTGCAATTGGTTAAAGCTCCTTGAGTCAATTCTTATTCACTCTGTTTTCAAATTCTAATCGTCAAAGACTTTGACATTGAAATTTGAAACAAAATCTGTCCTTGCGAACTGATTTGTGTTGCCCGTCTTCATAAACTAAATCAGCAGAAAAGTTCTGCATAAAACTCCATTTCATTTTATAAAAAGCACTCATAGAAAATAATGTTATCATGGAACTTTTTTTTATATTCCACGTATCAACTGGAATTCTAAATAATTGCCTTACACATTGTTTTGTTTTACTGATGCAAATCACTGCCACTATATAACGAGAAACAATCAATGTACATGATTTGAATTGTGTTTACATTAATGGAATGGTTTTTAAAAACTATTTATAGTTTCTGCAGGTTTGTTGTAGAGAATTATTAATGTTAGGATTGTATTGTATATATCTGCTTGAACTAGCTTGATAAATACAGGTAAAATAATTAGTGTGCTGAATGTCAAACTAAATTGATATTAACCTGAATCTCATTAAAAATAAATTAAATTATGTTACATAACTCTTTTTTCTAATTATACTTACTGTAATAAATGTTAACTTGTTTTCGCAGTAGATTGAAGGCATCTATTGTAATTCAAATACTATTTCTTACCAATATATTATGTATTTAAATAGTCATTTTATGTGATATTCCATACTATGTATATAAAATGGTACATGTCTTTTATATGTATATTGTATGGTATATGCATTTTATATATATATCCAATAACATGAATATGTGCTATATTTAAGTTTGCATTAATATGCTATAATCAGTAATCAATATGTTGTATTGTGCATTTGATATGCTTTAACATGTATACATGTGTCATATTAATGTGCTATAAAATGTAATTGGTATTGTATATTGTGTATTTGTTATACTATTTGAAGTGTTATGGTATATTATATTTGTAGATGATATATTTAATGTTGATGCTGATGATAGTGATGCTAGTAAAGATATAGGAGCTGTTGATTCACCATGTATATTACATTTATCACCTTGTGGTATAACATTAGCATTGAAGGTAAGAATTCATCAGAACTTCGTTTTGAAATTTAGCAGTCTATCTTTAAAATATAAAGACTTTTTTCAGTATTATAGGCTTCTGAAGATTAAATGCAAATCACACTATTTTGGAAAGACAATCTGATGTTTAAAAGAGACCCTTCTCATGTTGGAATTAGGAAATAAGACCTTTGAATGTTGAAAGAGAAATTTCTATTTAATGTGAAAATAGGACTTTCATAATATGAAATAATACTTTATATAGAAACTTTCATTATTTGAAAGAGGATGTTGCTTACTTAATAGAGGATGTTGCTTATTTGAAAGAGGACCCTCCTATGTTTGAAAGAAGACCTTCAAAGACCTTTGAATGTTTGAAGGAGAATCTTGTTGAAAAGTGTTGCCTGTGTTTCCAGATTTCTATTTGAACAAATTTGAAACCTTTTGGTTTTTCTATTGTTTTTATTTTTCAGGAATCTCGTTCAGTATTAGCACAGTGGCCTTTAAAGAGTATAAGATGTTTTGAGAGTAGTGGGTTTGGTCAGTTAACATTAGAAGCAGGACGTGTTGCACCAATGGGAGAAGGTGTATATAATTTCCAATGTTTAACTGGAGATGATAATGAAATATATGATATATTAGATCAATATATAGTTAATACACTAGATAAAGCTAAGGTAAATAAAATCTTTACTTAATGTAAAAATTTGATACCTAACAAAGTGCACTAGAAGATATGACAATGGCTTTATCCATTTCAACCATTGTATTTAAACTTTGCATAGCTTGGCCTTAATGTATGCATATAATGTGTGTGTGGGGCTTTTAAAGATTATTGTATATGCATGCTGGATCAAGATTCAGAGAAAAGAAAAAGAAGAAGATAAATTATTCATAATGTGTTGAATGTCATACACTTTCTTAATCTCAATCAAATGTATATCTATCAAAGAAGAAATGGTTGCATGTAGTGTTACAATTACATTTAAATTGATATAGATTGTTTGATTGGATTGTGTTAAACAGCAATAGTGATTAATAATTGATATAAATTACATTGTTAATCAATAACACATAGGGTGAATAATATTATCATCATCCAGTATTGATGATATTTTCTCTTCTCTATGTTTGAGATGAATTTTCGTATGTTACATGTACAATATGGCATCAATATTTTTCAGATTATCTGTATACCTTTACAGGAATATGTCAACAGGAATAATGAGGAAAGGTGACTCATTCTATGTCACCAGACTTTTTCATGCTGACTGAGATTAAAACCCACTATCACCTTTTTTTGACTTAACCGTACACAAGACATTTATTTAAATTTATAATGGTTTACATAAAGATAAACCCGTAACTTGCTTATACTGAGTAGTTATTTACAAATGTACATTGTAACTGAAAATAGTACTTATTTATCGTTTAGCCACATAAAAAAGGAACAGCTGAAGAAATAGCTGAATATTTAGAAGAATTTGATAAGTTACATGGTTTAACCACAGTATCAGTCCAATCAAAAAACAATAGTGATATAATATCTATATTAAAAACTAACTTTAATTATGATGTCAATTCAGATAGTCATGGTAAGTGATCAATTGTTCGTTCTTCTGAATTCTAAATTAATTCAAATAGGGGAAGAAAAAATTGTTCATGGTGTATATTGGTTTGGTCGCTCCAAGGTCATTTGATATAAGAGATATAATGTTGAATGGTACATGGCTATAGAAAATAATCTTGATATTTGTAGCAATTCAAAATAATTGGTGGTGCCTGAAGTTATTAATTATAAACTGATATTATTATGTACATCTAAAGGCAATAAGATCACAGTAAGACTATATTTGGCCTACAAGATAATGTAAACCACTTTCTGAGTTATGATTGTCAATCCTTTGATAAGAGTTAATAACATGTAGGTTTTTTTATACATTATATATGCTTATAATCAGTTGAACTCTATGTTTTCAGATGAAAATGATGAAACAGATGGAGTTGTAAGAAGAACTAAACTAAAAGTACATTCAAGATCACAAACAGCATCTATAGGGTACATAGCTTGATAGATTCACATAGTTATTAATTTATATTTAGGTGTAATCTATACTGTCTACATTAGACAAGAATATTAAAAAGGCATGATTCAACATTTTTGGTTGTCAATTAAGGCCTAAAGCAGCCCTGGAAGGTGGTAAAATTTGACCCTAAAATAACTCTTAATTTTTGTCAGAGAATAATAGAGTCATAGTTAGATAGATAACTTACAATATGCATTCTATTTCAGATATCGAAAGTCACAGTTTGATCCTAGATCAGTTAATCCAGTCAGACCCCCGCCACCACCACTTAGAAAAACCCATGGTAGTAATGATCATGATGCCACCTTAGTAACATCTCGTCCACCTCCACCACCTCCTAGACCTGGCTCAGGAAACCGAATACCAAATTGCACTCGACCTCACAGGTCACGACAGCGTAGAAGTTCTAGTATATCTTCTGCCAACAGTGGTGGTTCTATTAACTATATACAGGGAGATAACTCTCATCATAGTTCAATGGAGTTTCCACCTCCACCACCTGAAGCCCTCTTAAATGTCCACAGTTCGTATTATGAAGGTACTCAAACAACAGGCAGAATGAAGTCATCTCGGGAAAAGAAGCATAGAACAGAGAATTTGAAGGATTCTCAGAAAGCCACGAGTTGTGAAGATTTAAGTAGCCACATGAAAACTGTATTATATAGAGATAACTCTGTTGATAGTTTAGATGATCTAGTACACCAAACAGATGAAAATATGTATACTTCCAAGCTACCTGTTCCCTTTCCTAAACTACAAGAGTTTCGTGCTAGTGATGATTTTGATAAACACGAACGAGATCGCAGTCAATCTGTAGATTATTATAATTCAAGAAGAGATTCCAGTGTTACTAAAAGTCCTGGTCCTAGTGCTAGACATTTACGACGTATTCTATCAAAACAAAAACATCACGAAACATTACGTAAATCAAATTCTAATCCTAATTTTTTAAATGTTGGCAGTAAACAGAATCTTTATGCTCAATCTAATGGTGTAAAATCACCTTCACATGGCTCGCCAACACTTTCACATAAAACTAAACAAGCTAGTCGATCATTATCAAGTATATTTCCTGGCAATCTACGACGAGCTTTAAGTCGCGAACGAGTCAAAACAGACAAAGATAGTCGCTCCAATACTCCCTCTCATAGTAGATCAAATAGTATAGATCGCTCATCCATCAGGCGTAGAAGATCCAATTCCATCAGAGGTCCTAGCATTAAAGACATCAACTTTACTGAGAGAACTAGATCTTTCCGTAAAGTGAAAACAACTGATCAAAAAGACAATATTTCACAAAACGCGAACAATAATAATAATAATTTTAAACGTGCAATAAATGGTCCTATAACACAATGTAATGATATCAATGATAATATACGAGCGTCTGCCAGGAGGAAAGAGAATCCTGGGTATAATAGAATAGAGAAAATAATACGCTTACCTAGTCGGGAACGAGAGGAAACACGCTGTTAATATTGAGCATTGATATGAGAAATATTTAACTATATACAATCCTTATTTTTCATTATTATCTGCTTTTGAATTTGATAAACGCTTATAATTTAGTGTGGAAAATTTAAGTATGATACCACCCAATGCTTTGATACTTTTTTCTTATAGGTAAATATTGCCCAAATGTAATATGCCTACATAAGTATTCAGCCTGGACAGTTGGCCCCCCCCCATTGAGTCAGTCTGCCACTATTTGTACCCCAAGTCTTGGAAGGCTTGTGCTGCTTCTGGTGCCTGTCCTAAGATAAAATTATACTTTGATAGTGTTATGTGCCTTCTATTGATGGAGAATTAATGTACAATGTAAGTGATACGTTTTTAATAAAAACCCAGTGACTGTAGTATACTAAATAGTCTTTCCTATTTATTATATTGTTCATCATAATATATATTGACCTTGCCAAATAGTTCTGTGCCAGATTTTTTATATATCCTTTATATGTGTTCATTAATCCTACTTCTTCGTATATGTAATATTTCTTCCTTTATGTAAATTAGGTCTTGTTATAATGTATTGTTGAATGTCAGTATTTGTTAAATTTGCATATCAAGTTTCAAATGAAAAGTTTCATTCCTTGAGGCTATAGAACAATGATATATTTTAATATTGACTCATCATGTACCAGTACTCTGGTTTATTTTTTACAATGAGAACTACTGTACTTAATGAAATAATGTGGTTTTTAGATACGATCATATAATACTGAATTCAGTCCTATTTTATCATTCTAAGATGAAGACGTGCATGATGCAAATTTAATTTCTGATCTAATTTAAAGTATCGATTAAGGTTTGAATTTGTGGACAATGAAATGTATGAGTAAGTAGTACAACATTAATAATAGTAGGCTAAATGTACTTTGACTGGGTACTGACGCGTGACTGATAAATGATGTTGTACAATGAAAAAATGTTATGTTTGGTAACACACTTATATCCAAGCAAGTTTTCCAATCCCTCTAAATTTATTTTATTGTCCTTGTTGTACAACACATTTATAACTGATAAGACTTTTAGGAGATAGTACTCAGTTTGGTATTTTGTTGGTATTACATGGTACTTATACTAAATATTATAAATTTTTTATTCCAATTTTCTTGGAACTATCCTGAAACTTAACCTAATGTTGTTGATGTACCATATATTTTGAAATTAGTTTTATCATATTCCATGGTTGTGAGTGTAGAAAATAGGTTTGGTTATTACTAATTATCACATGAATTGTTTCAGTGACCCATTTTCATTTCATACATTCTATGCTTCATTTGTTAATTGTGCAATAAAAAATATGCCTGGAGGCCATAGCCTCACAAAGGTAATCATTTTCCAAATCTTGAATGTTTTTTTGAGAAAATGAAATGATAGTTGTTAGCAATACATTTTGTACTGAATGGCTTAGTTTTTTTTTTGTTAATTGGTTTTAAAGAATTTCTGATGATGCCCAGAGCAAAAGGTTATCAATGTTTTTGGTGAACAAAATATTCATGAGCAGGCATGATGCACTGAAAAGTGAGCATGTGGAAGATTCACACAAAACTGATAACTGTAAAAGAAATTGTATAAAGTGGCCCTCACACCATAACAATCACCAGTTGTATATGGCTGCAAATAGAATAATGCTCACAATTTTCAAACACAACTCTCATTCTACTGGGATGGTTTGATGTGAGGGCACAATAAGATTCTGTTTAGTTTGTTTTCAATCATATCCACTTGCTTAGTAATATTTTTGCATGACCCACTAAATTCTGCCAAGCAGAACATCTATCTACACTTTAAATGACTGGCAAGATCTGAGAAATCAAAGTCCCTGTGTTTTTATTCCTTCATAATATAATAAACTTTTTAAATTGTAGAAATATTGTTGAAGATTATGTTTTATACCGTTTTTCGTTTATCATTGTTATTGATATGAAATGGTTGTGAGAAATATTTTTGTTAAATATCATAAATTTTAAAATATTTACAATTTCTTGTTATTTTTGAAGCATGATGAAATAGTTATTAGATTTTTACAGATTGTAATGTACTTTATGATTTCAATTGTTATACTGAAGATAATAATGTATTAAGTAATGAACAAACCAATTTACTATATTTTGTATTTTAGCTGAGTGGAATCAGTGGCAATGTCAATGTTGTTATAATTACCACCAATTGAACATGCTAGACTGTTCTTGTTTCAATGATGATTTGCTTAAATATGTATTCTATTTGTTGGTTGAATTAGAGAATATTTTTTGAATTTTTATGTTGAATTAAGGTTGAATATTTTTTTACTAATCTAGATGTATGAGAATTTGACTTTGAAGGAAACAACAGGTTGATTTGGCAGTAGATGACAATGTATTTATTGTGTATTTCTTTACTGATTTATATGATATATTTGTTGATCTGTTTTTAAATAAATTTGATAAGATATAAATACTTGCTTAATTTATAGAAATATAGAAGGAAGGTTTTGTTGATTAATTCACTGTTTGTTGGTGACCGGAAGCAAGACCTTTTAAACATTTTTTATATGATATACTAGGTTAATTGAATTGAAAAAGGAGATGCTGACATGTCCTCCTATTAGAAAGTCAAAAAGCACAAACCCATTTATTGAATACCATTGAATGTCTGAGTTTTTTTGTGACTATTTCATGGAAATATTGACGCCAAGCCTTTTCATGGATAATTAAAATTTTGAGACGGAAATCGATTGCGGTAAAATTTTTATCTTTAGTTATCAAGTTATTATAGTTTGTGGTTGGGAAGTCACCTTCCCCTTGCAAATACAGCCATTCACTGGTACCGCTTTATTCTGCATCAGATATCTACAAAATTCTCACGCTATAAGTATTTGACAAGGGGTGTCACTAATATCAAGAATAAGGATATTTCAATTGAATTGTTAACAAACGAACCAATGAAGCCATTGTAGATGTTATCTATAATATATAAATATTTCTCCCCTCATTCATAATTGATTAATTGTTGTGAGACATTTGATTTAGAGAACAGAGCGTATGTTAAGGTAAGATGTATCTTCAGTTCTTAAACACTGACAAAAGTCTTGATATTTCATTATAAAAATGCTTAACATTCAGCCAGTCAGGCATCTTTATACTCCCACATGAATATGTGGTCGTATATTGTCGTAGCCCCTGTCCGTCGGTCCGTCAACAATTCTTGTGAGCACTATAGAGACTACAGTTTTCATCTGATTTTGATAAAACTTGGTGTGATGCTTCAGATTGATAAGATCTCGGTCAAGTTCGAATTTGACATATTTTCGATGAACGGTTTTTGAGATATTGCCCTTGACTTAGAACGCCTTGAAATTTGTTAAAAATTGTTCGTGAGCAGGATTGAACCTACAGTTTTCAACCGATTCTGATGAAACTTGGTGTGATCATTGGAATCGATAAGATCTCGGTCAAGTTCTAACTTGACGCATTTTTGATGAACGGTTTTTGAGTTATTGCCCTTGACTTTGTTAAAACGTGTTGAAATTTCTTAAAAATTGTTCGTGAGCAGGATTGAAGCTACAGTTTTCAACCGATTCTGATGAAACTTGGTGTGATCATTGGAATCGATAAGATCTCGGACAAGTTCTAACTTGACGCATTTTTGATGAACGGTTTTTGAGTTATTGCCCTTGACTTTGTTAAAACGTGTTGAAATTTCTTAAAAATAGTTTGTGAGCAGGATTGACGCTACAGTTTTCAACCGATTCTGATGAAACTTGGTGTGATCAATGGAATTGATAAAGTCTCGGACAAGTTCTAACTTGACACATTTTCGACGAACGGTTTTTGAGTTATTGCCTTTGACTTTGTATAACACGTCAAAATTTGTTAAAAATAGTTTGTGAGCAGGATTGAAGCTACAGTTTTCAACCGATTCTGATGAAACTTGGTATGATCATTGGAATTGATAAGATCTCGGACAAGTTCTAACTTGACGCATTTTCGATGAACGGTTTTTGAGTTATTGCCATTGACTTTGTTAAAACGCGTCGAAATTTGTTAGAACTAGTTCGTGAGCAGGATTGAAGCTACAATTTTCAACAGATTCTGATGAAACTTGGTGTGATCATTGGAATTGATAAGATCTCGGACAAGTTCTAACTTGACGCATTTTTGATGAACGGTTTTTGAGTTATTGCCCTTGACTTTGTTAAAATGCGTCGAAATTTGTTAAAAATAGTTTGTGAGCAGGATTGACGCTACAGTTTTCAACCGATTCTGATGAAACTTGGTGTGATCATTGGAATTGATAAGATCTCGGACAAGTTCTAACTTGATGCATTTTTGATGAACGGTTTTTGAGTTATTGCCCTTGACTTTGTAAAAACGCGTCAAAATTTGTTCGTGAGCACAATAGAAGCTACAGTTTTCAACCGATTCTGATGAAACTTGGTGTGATCATTGAAATTGATAAGATCTCGGACAAGTTCTAACTTGACGCATTGTCGATGAAATGTTTTTGAGTTATTGCCATTAATTAACATACGAAAACGCGTCAAAATTTGTTTGTGATCACAAAAGAAGCTACAGTTTTCAACCGATTTTGATGAAACTTGGTGTGATCATTGGAATTGATAAGATCTCGGACAAGTTCTAACAAGAGATATTTTGATGAACATCTTTTGAGTTATTGCCCTTGACTTTGTAAACACGCGTCAAAAGTTGTTTTTTGCCCTTTGATTAGAGCTGTGTGATTTAATTGTTTGTTGTATTTGGGTTATTGCTATTGATTTTAAAAAATTTTGTTGAATTATTCAGCATAAATAATTTCTTCAATATGAGAAAATTCGTACTTTAGTAATTAAAGACTGTTTTATTATTTCTGACAGCTGCCAGTGGGCGTATGTTACCTTGCAACGCAAGCTATCTTTGATAATTATGCTTTATAAATCTATATAGTTTTTGGAAATCGTGGTTAGATCTGGATCAATTGGATGGTTTGACACT